ATACATGTATCCTTAAAGACGACAGACAAGGTCCTATGATTGAGCTTTTTATTTAATTTTTGTTGTATTTCAACAAGTGTTTTCTTTTTTGGACACATGCCCTAATGTTCTATAATTCTGAGAGATTTTGGCAATACTTTTAACTATTATCAAGGATGATTAAATTTTTGCTTTTTAATTGGGTGTATGGGTTGTGTGTATGTTTCTAGAGTTATAGGGATTGTGGCCATGTTTGCAGTTAATAATATTAAGAGTTGGCTCTTATATATATATATCACCTGGAGATGATTTGACATGCCGTATATGTAACAAGAAATGCAGATCAATGGCTGGCTTTATGAGTCTGTCATTCACACAACAAATGAATGCAGTGTTGTGGGAGGTAGTTTAACTGATGGACTGGACATGTCAGTGATGGTCATACTCACTTTGTGAGTCAACACCCATATATATATATATATATATATATATATATATATATATATATATATATATATATATATTCTGTTATACTTTATTTTAATAGATAAAATATATACTTTATATTTTATTTTAATAGATAAAATATATACTTTATATTTTATTTTAATAGATAAAATATATACTTTATATTTTATTTTAATAGATAAAATTTATTTAAATTTGTTTAACAGAGCATTTACTTATACAACTATTAAAATAATGTATAAACTGAGAATATATTAAATGAGTGTGCGTGTGTGTATTAAGTTTCCTTTTGTTTAAGTGAGCTTGTTTACATTGAAAGTCTATGTATGTGTCAGCAGTAGTAGGAATACAGCCAAAATTAAAAATTGGCTGGTGTATTATCACTAATTAGTTATTTTTAAATATTGCTGATAATAAAAATGAAAGGAAATAAAATATAACAATTGTCTAGATACCATTCAGATTTAAACAAAGTTGAAAATTAGTAGTCAATAAATTATTAACTGTAAGAATTTTTTTTTTTATTTTTACTGAATTGGATAACTAAGATTACTTATAGAAAATAATAGGCTCAGAAGTGGAGCTAAAATTAAGAATTATTTTTTAAAGTTGGTTGAAAATATATTTTCTTTTTATTAAATAATTCAAGAGGCTAAAGACATCGCATTTTTACAGATATATTTACCAAAATTACACACAAAATATCTTGAAATACTAACAAGTAAATTTATTAAATAAAATCACCATTGGCTTCAACCATGGCCTACAGAGGACTTCAGAAACCCCTGCAACTCTTACTGGACAGCCTCCTTGTTTAAGTTGGTTCATTTTTGGTGTTATATATTTTCTTTTTACTAAATAATTCAAGAGGTTAAAGATATTACTATTTTGCAGTGATTTTTTGATACCTTCTTTTTTTTTTTTTTTTTTTTTTTTTTTTTTTAAAGATTGGCTGCAAGTGACAGAAAATATAGTGTCTTCTTTTTTTCTTTTTGAGAACATTCTTTGGTCATATTTGTTTTGTGCGTTAAATTTTATTAAAAAAAAAATTGCATGCTTTTAGTGTGTGTGTATGTATGTGTGTGTGTGACCTACCATGGATTTTGGGGCCTTTGAAATTAGGAATTGTGGACTACATTTTTGGCAGAAAAACTAATAACTTCTCTAGTCTTATTTAAAATTTGTAAATGTCTCTGACTACATATAATGATTTTATTATCAGGACATTTAATGTTAGATGATTTGGAGGGGGGTGAGAATTATTATTATTTCAGAATGTTGATAGTTATAATGTTGATGTATGTTGCCTCCAAGAAACCAAATCAAATATCAGTTAATAGCTTTGGAAATGGTAAATATTATGGAAACGTTTTGTCATCAATACCAAATGAGAGAATAATATACATAGATACTGGATGAACAACATTAATATACATATTGAACAAGGATATTAATAGAACTGTCAATAAAATTCTATTATTCTTTGTAAAAACTTTGAAAAGCTTGCAAAACTTGCCACAATTTTTTTGTAAGTTACTACAACCCAGAGGTTTCAAAAAGAACTGATAAGAGATATTTATAAAGTTGCAGAAGAGGAGAAATCACACACATTTTCAGTTTGCCTTCAAATCAAAACAGCTTTGATGATGAACCAAATTGGTATACGAGGAAGCAGCAGCACATGTGATTAGCAGTGTATTACTGTTAAGTTAAATTTGAAATGTCGGGTGAGAGGAAGGCTGCAGTTAACAAACTGTTGTTGTGTTCAATCAAATCTTTTACATTTTTTTCTATCTAAACTTTATTGCATCATTATTTTATTTAAATGTTTATTCTAAATTTTTATTTATTTATTATTATTATTTTTTTTTTTTTTTTTTTTTTTTAGGTGGAGTCATTGCTCATAGTTTGGCTATCGTAACAGATGCTGCTCATTTGTTGACAGACCTTGCAAGTTTTTGCATCAGTCTTCTCTCAGTCTATTTGGCAGGCAGGCCTGCCACCAAAAAGTTAAGCTTTGGATGGTATCGAGCAGGCAAGTATATTGGGCATAATAATAAATGTGAAAATTCAATATTGCTTTCTATAAATTTAAATTAAGTTTCTTGCATTGACTAAGTCCAGAATTATCATTTTGACTAAGGTAGGGACCTCCACAAAAAAAAAACAAAACACAATACCTAAGGTTTAAAAAGAACTTTTAAAAATGAAAAAAATCTTTCTTGAAGCTTTTATTTTAGTTATAATTTCAAGTTAATAGATTAAATTTGATATTTTCAGTAATCAAAATACTTTGTATTTCAACAACTAATTTAAGGTGATTTTTTTTTTTTTTTTTTTTTTAGTTGTCTTTCATTCACAATGTAATTCTCTTTATTAAAAACTCATATCTTATTTATAAAACAAGTTTTTTAACTAATATAGATATGAAGAGGCAGGAATTTTAATTTCAAAAAATGTCCTTAAATGGGGGGGTAATTGATGTGTGTGTTAAAAAAAATTAATTTGTCAAGTCTTGAAAATTTTATTAAAATCTGACAATTATTTTTTTTTTTTTTTTTTTTTTTTTTTTGAATTTTTTTTTTTTTTTTTTTTTTTAGCACAAAAAAGATACTAAATTTCCTGATACTAATCTTTGGCTCACCTGAGATTGACCGAAATTTCAAGTGTGCTAGAAAGGAATAAAAAATACTTTGTTCTTTCCTCTTCATTATAACGTAAACATTTTGAAGATGAAACTTTTTTTTTTTTTTTTTTTTTTTTATCAAGATTGGAACTTTTTCATCATGGTATGCTTCGTTTTTTTTTTTTTTTTTTAAATGAATTCTTTGAAGCACCTAGATTAAGGGTATTGGATAAGACTCCCCACCTCCCTCCAAACTTTCACTGGAATTATTTTCAACTATGGAAAAAATGTTTATTCCTAATTTCTTTGAGCTACAAAAACAAGAGTTATTGTTGTTAAACTTTAGTAAGCCATTACTAAATGTAATTACTATATCAACTAGTGTTGTTACTATAACAAATGAATTCAAAATGATTACTTCATTAGCATAGTCTGAGAAACAAAGTAATCAGACATCATTACTAAAGCTTTAAGGAAATAATTAATTTACTTTCTTTGGGAAGGTAGGAATCCCCCCCCACTTCTTCTTATCAGCTACATATAAAATAGTGTGTCAAGAGCGGACAACAATCTAGAATGACGACTCTGAATTTAAAACCAGTGTCTAGTCTTTATAATGAAGGCAGGTAGGCATGGGATTAATAACTCCCCCACATAAAATCTTGCTATTGTAACTGTACCCCCCCCCCACACACACACACATCGGGAGGGGGGGTGTTGTTTTTATTCTCCGCAAGGTATTTATCATCTTCATCACTCCCATGACTGAGTGTGGTTGTGGGGACACTGAACAGCTGATCAGCTCCCTTCACATAGCTGGGTTGAAAATAGGAGAGGTATTCATTCATGTGTATCCCATCTTGGGCAAGTAGACCTGGCAGAGTCCATCCCTCTCCAGGCCAAACCTCACCTGATGTCCTCCAAATGGAAGAATTGGAAAATTCCAGAAGACCGTAAATCTTGTCATACTGCCCCACCTCCTGGCAATTGGGTAGGTTTGGGAAGAGTTAGACTTACTAAATTTTAATAAATTCTACATATTTTTAGTTTTTTTTTTCTTTCCATTTTCCTCTTTGATGTTTAATTTAGTTCTCTGAGTTTTCTCGGTTTAATCATAATTAATTCTTACTTCCTTAGACATTGTCATGCAGTAAAACTTTTGACCCAGGGTTATAACCCTGTTATAGAACACTTTATCAGTTACTCTCAGACAGTCTGTAATGCAGCCCCACAGAGCCCCCTAACTGATATGTGGACCCTACATTCTATCTGTAACATGTCAGAGACTGTCCAATTCTTCTCTGTCCAACAATTTTTCTTGCATGCACACATATCTGGCACAGTTTAACAAATAGGTGTTCACCTCTTTGGTTTACCACTGACAATGGGTGAATCATAGATTTTCCCTCCCAACTGAGGGTTATTTTAGGTCAACTTTGCACCTGGCTTCCTTTGATGGTCTGGTGTCATAGAACTTAAGGTTACATCTAGCAATTTCCACTGTAAATTGATGAGACCTTGTTGCCAATCTAGTACTGTTCTTAAATTCATAAAATGAAGGTACCATAGTAGAGATTTCATCCAAACAATAACCTTGAAAGTATTTATAGAAAAGGTACAGAGAAGCTACATTACAGTGATGGGAAAGTGACTGAAGTAGAGATACCTGGTCAGGACCAATAATATTGCTTATTCTTTGGATTTTATCAAGAATCTCTAAATAGGAGCACCAGACCATATATGATAGCAATATTCAAGTATGGATGAATGGTAAACATATAAATACGTAAGATAGATTTTGGTAAGAAAAATTTGTTTAACATGACGGTGAATTTTATATTTATCTTCTTGTAAACACATCCCTCTTTTTTTTTTTTTTTTTTTTTTTTAATAAAATTATTTTTTTTCCCCTTCTTTTACTTATCAGAGATGCTTGGGGCCTTATTTTCTGTGTTCTTCATTTGGTTGGTAACTGGCTTCTTAGTGTACTTTGCTGTTGAACGTGTGAAGACCAACAATTACGAGATAAATGCCACAGTCATGCTGGCCACTTCTGCAGTTGGAGTAATCATTAATGTAATGTAAGTAAGGATTTATTTATCTTAATGAATGAGAACATTAACCTGGAAATGTGGAAGTTTGGTAATTTTTATCTGTGGGGTTTGATGATATTTTTTTTTTTTTTGTTTTATTTTTTCTTTGGTTTATGATTTGTTTAGTTTGGTGGGTGCTGAAAAGTTCTCAGTTTGATCCACTTCTGAAAATCTAACCAAATTTCAAATAAAATATTTATTTTGAGAACCTTTCAATTCTCTCTCTCTCACTCTCTCACACACACACACACACACACACACACACACACACACACACACACAGAGGTTGTAACAGCATAATTGTCGATCCCACAAAATGTTTAATATCTAAACTGAGTTTCTTTTTACCAAATTTTCAGATAAAACGTTTAGCCATCTTGATACCATTTGCCATAAAATTGCTGAAAGACCCTTTGAGTTATTCAGCTAGAAAGAGAACAGGTTAAAATCATTTGTGTCAGCCCCACACTCTTACCAAATGAGCAATGAAATGAGAAAGATCATTCAGGCCTTCAGTAATGGTACCAACATTCATACTCTGGCATCCATTTTCAAAGTCTATTCAAGAACCATCAAGAGAACGGTGAATAAGTATTTTCAAAACTTATTCACCATTCAGTAGTGAGGAAAACTGGATCAGGAGGTCACAATAGGGAGAAGGATCATCATTTCAACTTAGAGCTAAAGAGATCAATTAGAAAAGATCCAACTCAATCCATAAGATATTTGGCATGTGAAAAAGGAGTTTCAGCTATAACAGTCCAAAGAGCAGTGAAAAGACTTGAAAATGAAATTGTATGTGAAATCTGTGAGGCACAGGACAGAAAGTTAGAAGGTTAGAGAGGACGAAGATCATCTTGAACAAATTTGAAAATGTTCCTGGAATAAAACATATATTTGAACTTTATTTCAATCCTTCTTGAGTTTCCAAACCTTAGCTATGATTAATTAATGATGAACATGTCATTTTTATTTGATTGATTTGATCATGATTCTTCTGTTAATCTTATTGCTCAAAGTAGAGTCCAATAGTGTTTTAAAAACCTCAGAGAATTCCAGTAAGATATCTTTAATCATTTCTAAGATACAACGGTTCAAAGCTTAATCTAACAAATGAACAATTTTGCTGTTACACCCTCTGTGTGTGTGTGTATGCATGCATGCAAATTATTTTGGATTGGGATTGATTTATGTGTTATATGTTCATGAGTACCTCCTATACCAACATTTTTTTTAAAAACAATAACAAATAGCAAATAATAATAATATATATACATATATCTCAAAATTATAATTTATAGTATTATTTAGGTGTTAAAGAAATTATAGAATTAAAATTAAATAAAATTTTAATTTTGTATTATGGTTTAACATGTGCCTATTTTAATATTATTTGCTTTAAGTATTGTCTTAATCAATTTGACTATTTAATATCAATTATTTTTATCACACACATATATATATATTTGTTAAAATGGATTTTCTCTGCCTATACATTCTTTTAGCATTGGATTTGTTCTTCATAAAGGCCATAATCACAATCAGTTGAGCCCATCTGATCAACAGACTGTAGATGAAGAGCAAGCACTGATCACTCAGCAAACAAGCTATGGCTCTATGGTTTCCACAAGACAGAATCAAGCTCTTCCTGAGGTTAAAGTTCAGCAAAAGAATATTAATATCAAAGCAGCACTTATCCATGTTATAGGTGACCTTTTGCAAAGTGTTGGTGTTTTAATTGCTGCTTTTGTTATTTATTTTAAGGTAGGTTCTGGAAATTTTCTTTTTCTTTTACATTTTCAAATTGTTTGAACTAATATCCAAATATCAATTTTGATATTGTCAGGTACTATCAGAGAATCTTTTTGTTATATAAACTTTAATATTTTCCTATGTTTGACTAAAACATTGGCATGACTTAAATTGCCTAGTCCAGAAAAAAAAAAAAAATAGTGAAAAATTCTTTTGGAAATAATTTTTGTCCATTAGCATTTTTTTAGGCTGTGTAGAAGTGGGAAGAGAACCTGTTCCTAATATTATTATAGTGTCAAATCGATTCCAGACATTTAAAGAGTTATTGAACTTAGTTGTTATTTGCAAATGTCAAGTTTGAAAGTGGGCTAACATCTTTGATAACTGCATATTTTTTCTGAATTTTTAACCTTTTCTTAACTTATGAATTTTTTTTTTTTTTGTATGGGATTTTCTTTAGAAGCACATCCACAAATATTTGATATAATAATTATTTATCTTAAATGAAGAATAAACTGATACATACTTTTATTAATTTATGTGACTTTTTTGTTCTTTAATTAAAAATATATATTTAAATATATTTCTGTAACCATTCCCCCTCAAAAAAAGAAAAAAAAACTGTTTGCAAAACAACGTAGTCTGATGACCCTGTAAAAATCAGGGTTGATTTGACACTGTATCAATATTATAAACAGGACCCCACTTTTAAATCGATAAATAAATAAAAAATGAATATTTTTCAATTCTGACAAGTGTTAGGGCCTAAAAGATAGTGTACAAAAATTATTTAAAAAATTTTTTAAAAGTGAGTAGTGTGTTGACTTTAAATGAGTATACAAAATGTTAACTGGAAATAAAAAAAAAAAAGATTTTAGTCATTTTTCAAAAGCAATTTTTCACTATTTTTTTTATATAGGGACCAGTCTGTTTAAGTAGTACCCAAAAATCTAACCATCACAAGCATTTTCAAGCTTATAGAACCTTAATGTGGGATGAGAAACCACACTAATTTCATATTTCTTTTTCAGACAGCTAACTTCAGCTTTGCATTTAATATATTTTCACCCACATATATTCTTCAGTGAGATTGGAGGAACATAGGAAAATGATCTTCAACCAAAGTAAAAGTTTAGGCATAGCAAGCCATATCTATAGGGAGAAGGGGATATATTACTCTCATTTCAAAATGCCCAAATAATAGAAATATGAGAAAATTGAAAGAATTCATGTACATTAAACTTACTGATAAATGTACAAGTCAGATCTGTATAGATTTCAATGTAGTGTGAATTTCTTTTCTTTGCAAGGAAAGGACTGGAGATAATCGTACATTTTAAAATATGGAATAACCTTTGATATGAGGTTTAGCCTGATTAATACATAAAAACCACTCCCTCCAATTAAGGCTTTCTCCTTCCTAGTCAAAATAGTTCCCCACAGATTTTGAGCAGATTTCTGTTTTGGGGATGGGTCAATATAAAATTAGACTGAGCATTTGCGGTAACTAGAATCATGCCAATGCATCAAGTATGGTCAGGGGTACACTGATGTCTGCAGCAATAGCTGAAGGAGCTAAGCAATTTTGGGATGATTAGCAATCAAGGAAGATAACTATTAAATGATAATTATTGTGTTAATTATCACTTATTTGTTTGCATATTTGAAACCATAGTTTTCCTTTTGCAAATGCCACATATATTTTACAAAGCATGATTTAGAAAAGAAGAAATTCAATAATAATTATTCTCTCAAAATGTGGTCTAGTAGATTTTTTAAAAACAACAAAGAAGACATTAATTTAAAAAAGAAAAAAAAATTATATTACTTTTGTCTCATAATAGTTTACATTTAGGGTATGAAATTTGTCCCAAAATAGTAATTAATATTTATAAATAAAAGATAAAAATTAACACTTCCACTGCTGTCGACATGCTTATGTTTTTATAATGTAGGGCAGTGGTTGTAGACAAGACCTGCTTTATGTCAGAACCACTTATGACTATTTATTGTGATGGTAGTGGCCAAACCTGCCTAATATCTGAAGCATATACAATTTGTTGAAAAATGTACTTCTATTTTTGTTATTTTTTTTTATATAATGTTATGCAGTGGTTGTAGCCAAAACCTGGTTTGGCAGAATGACTTTTGTTATGACTATTT